GCTTTATCGTACAAGTGACCAGTGAATCTCTTAAGAAGATTCCATCCCTCACGTACATTCGTGGTATATATCCAGTTCCTATTTCTGGATTTAACTTTTATCATTAAACCTACGTTACTTCTTGGTGGTACCACGATACTTGCAGAGGTTTTGAAAAGTATCTTATGTTGGTTCCAGGTTCCAGGTAATATGGTTGGTATCATAACAATATCGATTCGTGCATGATGTTCGGTAAAGAATAAAGACTCTAATATTCCCTGTTGTGCGATAGGAAAATCATCGGTTACAACATGAAAGATTATTGGAATATTGCGAAGATAGATGTATACTGTTCCGAGAGTTTTTACAATATTTTCCGTGATTCCTTTTAAATTCAAAATGTTGTTGCTGTTAATAGGTACGTTACGATCTAGAATACCAATTTTTATGATATTCGGCTGAGCTCCTGTATCGAGCATCAGAGCTGCTGGCTTGCGGAAAGAGCAAGAATCTAATTCGATGGTTGGGACGGTTCCAGAGCTGAATTTGACGACGGCGACTCTGGTATTTTGGTTGTTATTGAGTATAACGGGCGCGTGGTCGTCTCCCCTCGATTTACGCCCGACGTCGAGGGGCTGGGCAAGTTTCCCTGATTGTTATCGCGCATGGCATTGTTATATTGTCTTTTCTTACATTCGGAAATTAGGTGACCAAAGTTTTTACAGTATGCACAGATTTTAACTTGAAGGGAAGGGTTAGGAGGAATGGAGTGACGGCGATCTGGTTGCATAACGGAAATTGGCGGTATTGTTCTTCGGTTCTGATCGGTAGTTGAGATGTTGAACAGGGTTCGGTTTCGTATCGCGCTGGTGTACGCGATCGCGTTCGAGCCTCTTACTAATGAGTATTGCTTTATTATAAGTTTCTGAGAGATTTCGGTAACCCTCCATGCAGATTTCGGTACGATATTCGGGGATTAAACCCTCAAAGAATGATTCTAGGGCATATGAGTCTATCTGCTCAATTTCGAAATTATTGAGAGGTCGGCCAAATTGATTTTGATCTCCTTCGATTATAGCATTGCGCAAATCCTTTACACGGCCGATATAATCTAAAATATGCTCTGAGGGTTTTTTTAAATTGATGCTTAATTCGCGGTAATAATTAGAAGTCCGTACCGGTCCGAATGTGCGTTTTAAACAGTCTATGAACTGATCGACTGTATTATGAATCTCATCTTCAACAGCTAGGTATACATGACCTGTTAGCTTATTTCTTAATAATCGGACTAAATGATTTTCGTTAGTCAATGGGATAAGTTCCTTAGCGCGTTTGCAAGCGCGTGCAAATTATAAAACGGGCATATTATGTCCGTCGTATTTCGACACGAGATCCAAAGCGTGTCGGATCGATGAGTTAGAATAATTCACTTCCGTATGTTGAAAAGGATTAGGTGGATTAGATAGTAATCTATCAAAGGATGTGTTATCTTGCGTAATTCGATTCTCTGTAGTCTCGGCGTCTTGCAATGATTTATTGGAAGCAGAGTTGGATAGGCTATTCTGTACATCACCTACGCGTTTCTCTAAAATTTGAAATCGTTCGCTTAAAGTTTTCAAAAAGAAAAGATCCTTTTGGATCGTGTTTAACGTAATATTAAAATTATTGATATCTGAATAGCGTTTTAATTCTTTCGAATTCCTCTCGTTGTTTTTCGAGTTCTTCCTGTCGAAGCGATACAGCATCACTCTGTTCTTTTAATTGTTTCTCTTTTTCTAGATATTGATTTCTGAAAGCATCCATTTCCGCTTCGGATAATGGCTGATCAGCAAAATCTAGGCGAGTACGATGGCACTGAGATCGCGTACCTTGTGCCATCCCACCAGTCGCTGTCACCAGTTTCGTTCTACGGTGTTGTTACGTCCCGAGATGGAATAGAACGGTTAATGGAATTTGGGAAAGGACATCTAGTGTATTTATGTTCAATGGCGGGGCTGGATACGATTACAAACTATATTTTCGGATTAGAGTCCGCGACCGAGCGGAAATCGCGGGGAAATATGTTTTATTAATATAATAATAGGGATGTGGTATTGTATTGTAAAGTTACAATTGTTGGTATAATTGGTTATAAAATTACGATCCAAAGTTATTTAATATGACAGAAAGGAATGATTTATTGTAAAATATAACACGAATAAATAGTTGCAATAGTTTATACAGTTAAAATATAGTTAAAATAATAATAATAAAGAAAATAATAATAATAATAACATAATGATAATAATGAAATACAACTTAATCAATATAAAAATAAGAAATATGTAATAATAATAAGATAAGATGTGAATATGATAATTAAATTCTAAGATATCTTTGAAATTCATATAAATAATGATATTAAAACGAAATGAAAATCAATAATATACTATAAGTAAATCACATAATATAATGAAAGAAAATCAGTAATATAATATAAGTAAATCGAATAATATAATATAAGAAAATCAAATAATATAATATAAGAAAATCGGTAATATAATATTGTAACGGAGCGCATCCTTCCGCTCCGTTCCTTCTCCGGATTTCCCCCGACCGACCATCCGTCGGGGACCGCCGAACATCAGGCGGAGTGCGGCAATGGCCGCAAAGAGGCAGCAATGCCTCCTTTTTTAAGTTCTGTACACGCGAACTCCGAAAGCGTCGGAGAATACCGTGAAAACACGTATGTTTTCGTGGTATTTCCCCGCACCGCGCCAAGCGTCGCGTCAACAAGCGCGAACGCACCCCGCGCCGCGCCGCTACCTTCCCTACGAATTCCTTCCCTACCCAAAAAACCAATCATCCCCCCGATCCTTTTTTTCCGCTCCTGGGGAGAGGGATGCTAATCCCGAGATCGACCAATCCGACCGATCCGACCGAAAATACCGAGGTCGATCTCGGATATAAAAAGGCATCGCTCTCCACAGGAAATCACTCACTCTCCGTTTACTCCTATTCCTAGATCGTCTCCGAGAGCTCGCCTCGAGGAAACGATCTTCCGAAACCGGCAGCAAGCCTGAGATTTGTTGGGGCTCTCCCCAACGCGCCAAGTTCGCTTGGCCTGGCCGAAAGCCGTCTCCGTAGCTCGCACGGCAAGCCGAGAGTTGCTGGGGTCTCCCCAGCGCGTCGAGTTCGCTCGACCCGACTCTGCCGTTCCGAGAATTCACCGCCGAGTACCGGGGTTCTCCCCGATACTACCTCTCCGAGTACCAGGGTACTCCCTGGTCAGCCGAGCACACTCGGCACCGCCACCTTCTTCTCCGCACACAGCCGGGGCTCTCCCCGGCTGGCCGAGTTCACTCGGCGTTCACTCAAACAGACGAGGGGCACACCCTCCGTCAGCCGA